GATTCTGTATCAGCATGTATGAAAAAAAGGCACTTCCCAAACTTCAGGAGAGAGGTGTTCGCAACCCTATGTAATTCTATGAAGTAATCTCCTCTTCATGGATGATAAACCCGAACACACATATATATATATATTAAATTATATATATATTGTATATATATATAAATATTGTAATATATATATATTGTATTATATATATAATACAATAGTATATATATATAATAGAATAAATATATATATATATATATTCTATTCTGTAGTATGATATATATATATATACACATTATTAATTACAATATAATAACTCCTATGATAGTCAACCAACACACATTTCACAGCCACTGCTCAAATAGATAGTTGGCTACTATATATCCCATTATATTTCCGTTGCATCCTATTATACTCCTAAAAAATCCCCTTATATTACCATTGAATTCCATTGCATTCTTAAAACAATCAGATTACATTCCCGTTGGAGTAGATATTCCCAAATTATATCAATTTCATATATTCCCATGATATTCCCATTAAGTTGGAGTATATTCCCATCAAATGGCTATTATGTATCCCAGTACATATATATATATATGTATGTATGTATATGATAATCCCATGATGTTCCCATTTATATTTGGATATATTTATATATATATATATATACGGTAACTACATTTAAATATACGGATATATTTAAATGACGTTAATTTCCGTGTATATATATATATATATATATATATTATATTCCCATTAAATCCTATTATCCCCATCAAATGGACCATAGAATCCTTGAACCCCCCCTGTCCGACCGTCCAAGTGGCAACTGTTCTGCCACGTCCTCCGAGATGAAGCCTCCGCCGGAGCGGGACCCCCAGGCCAACACCTGCAACGAGTTAAAGGCCGGAAAGGTCCAGCTTGCGAGGAACAAAATTTCAAGCTTAAACGGTTAAACAACCAAATTATCTGGTTATGTATAAATTGTTATCTAGCTAAATAATTGTGATAGATTTATATGTGTCCTCACATTTTTCCGGGTTGATGAATTTTAAGAATGTCTTGAACAAAACATGAGTGTCTTCCATTTATACAACACAATTTTCCCATGAAAGCCGATTTTCTAGATGAGTGTTTTCCATTGTTTTCCCATTTACCCTCTGGTAAACTAACATAGCTATTGAAAATGGCCATTTATAGTGGATTTTCCCATTAAAAATTGTGATTTTCCATAGCTATGTTAAATTACCAGAGGGTATAGACCATGTTTCCCATTTTTCCTCACATTTGAAACGCGCCTGCCCACCCTCCTTGATGGCTGCAAAGGCTTCATCGTTGACGTAGACCTTTTGGACGCCCTCGGAGAGCCTCACACGGACGCGTTTGGGGCCCCTGTGGTTTGGGAAGGTCTTGGGCGTTCCTTTCTTCAGCTTGCTGAGTCAAAGTTGGTTCAATATGAATAAAACATCATAAAAAGCATCGTTTTTGATCCATACCTATATATCTATCTGTCACATACCATCGTAAATGATGGTTAAGACAAAAATAAACCTACCCTACCATTATTATATATCACCATTATTATGTCAAGATTCATCCCAAAATGATCAAAAGATATAGCCAAGTTAATTCGGCCATCTCCAATCTTCAGCGCATTCGATTTCTCAGATTTGTAGCGGCCAAAAAATCTCCAATGTTGCATGATCAGGGCCCTGATGATCGTGCAGTATCAAAATTGCTTGCAACCACCATGGTAATTGTGTGCAGAACCATGGTATTACATGGTTAATCTTTAGTAGTCCACCAAAAATATCCCAACTGGTTCTGGTGATTGTCCACTGAAAAAGCAAAACACCTAAAGGATTAAACTACCGTTTTCCACGGTTGGGGATGTTGAAAAATGGCTAACTGTTACATTACCGGTGGGTTCACCATGTTGATCAAACATACATATCGCAATTGTATGATATAGTCATAATCATATTATGGTATGATATGGGAATATCATATATATATATATATTATACAAAATTTATGAGAATATATCCCCATATAATCATGAGAATATGCCAAAGTATTCCTTGTGTCTTGCCTAACCTCTGTAACAGTCGTTAAAACAATTTCTTACTAAACATGCTTCAAATGGAGCACCAAAAAATTAAGTTTTTTTTCACGGTTTTCTTCGTGCACCAAGTCGTGCTTTTTTCTGGTGTTCTTCGTGCACCAAGTCGTGCTATTTTCTGGTGTTCTTCGTGCACCAAATCGTGCTTTTTTGCGATTTTCTTCGTGCACCAAATGGTGCCCTACTTCGTGCCACTGTTACAGAGGTTAGGCAAGACACAAAGTATTCCCGTATTTTTTTCCAAATTCCAAGGTTGGGGATGGTTCTTGCTCAGCAGCTCGCTGTGCGGCGCCGGCACTGCGTCCGCAAGCTCCTCATCGTCGCTGTCGCCGCTGCGCCAGAAGATCTGGGAGCTCCCGGCAGGTTTCTGCACCCAACTTCCATCAACATTGGGAAAACTCAGCATGGGAATATTTACCAGTTACCAGTTGGGAATATGGATTAAAACATCATAAAACCCATCATGGGAAAAAATAAAACTGATTTACCCTCCGGTAATCAAACGTGGCTGAAAAATAACCCAAAAACTATAAATGGAGGTTTATAAACAAATAAAATAAAATCATCTGTAAATGGGGGTTTGTCCATTGCTATGTTTGATCAACATAGGGTAAACCCCAACTTGGCTTTGCTTAAGGGACCCCAACAACAAATTAAACATAAACGATAGATTCACCAAGCAGTGGGTTTTCCATTGAGAAAATAACAAATCATCTTGAGCAAATCCAGGCAAGTAAGCAATAAACAAAAGCCGTGGGTGCTATCGCATCCCATTATACTGATTGCCCTATAGAGATTCTTCTTTCATGGGTGCCAATCAACAGGAACTTTGGTGCCAATCAACAGATGTGCCATCATAGTATGTGCCATTTTCGATAGCTATGTAACAAATTACCAGACCGTACTTAAGCACAAAAAACCATCGACAATGCGTATGCTTTCAGGCATTGGGTGTACCCCTGCCACGATCAACGGTCGCAACTTTTCCAGGATCACCGAGGTACTGATGTCAGGGCCGTAAAAAATGACTTCGGATAATCCATGATGACGTGTAATATTTGGGGGCTTAGTCAGTCCCAAAAATGTAATATAATTCAATTGTAACATGCGGTCGTGAACTCTAAATGTTCTATATTGCATCTATCCCATATTTTTGTTGGTAAACTCCCATTTATGAACCTATATCTGCGTTCACCCACATTTTTGTAGTTATTGATACTGTTTTGGTTTGTCAAGACTTTGACATTTTTTTGGTTGGTTAAACCTCAGATTTACAATTGCTAAAACAACTTTGAAGCCACAAATCCGATATAGCTACATGGTTGGTATACTCATATTACATCCCATCTTTAAGAACCCACAGGATCCATGTATGCTATATATGGTAACATGGATCCCATCAATATACCCCCAATGTTAGCATACATACCATACAGGGATCCTATGGGGAATGACATCAAATTAAATTGATAAACTTGGTTCTATTCTCATTGTACCCCATATGTTGATGGGTAAGGTATACCAATTTTTGGTTGGTGAAAACACCTTACAATTCATCCAGATCGAAATCAACGTTTACCACTATTTGTGTGGTTTACCCTCTGGTAATTCAACATAGCTATGGAACATCACCATTTATAGTGCATTTACCCATTAAAAATGGTGATGTTCCATAGTTTTACACTAATTACCTGAGGGTATAATCCTGTCTATGTTTGCTTGCATTTGAGTGAGCTCTTTGTGAAGCATCTGCGTCGTAAAACCTCCAGACTTCCGTCTATATGATACCCCTACACCACCTGACCTGTGCCTTTTTTGTGGCATACATCAGCTGGAAATCCCAATCGTTGATGATTGGAACCACAAAATAGACCAATAATTTGTCAGGGCGAAAACAAATCTATTATTATTGTCCATTGGCATGCCGATTACACCCCATACTTTGGGAGGTACACTCCCCGTAAATATCTGCGTAAACTCTCCATCTATATGGTTCACCAAAATGTTTGTAGCTTAGAACAAAATCTCCGTTGACTAAGCCTCCAGGTTTCCGGTTGGTAAACGCCTATTTGGAAACACCGGGCTGATATACCCATACTACACCCCACATGTTAGGGCTAAATCAATTTCAATCCGCATTAATGTAAACCCTGGATTAATAAACCCGGACTATCAATGGGGGTGACCCCCAAAATAACGATCAATTACTACTAAAATTGATACCCTGCTTTATAATCAATCAAGCGAACTATATCCAGGGTTCACACTATTTGCACAAATAAACAAATTTTGAAAACCACCAAATCATTGGTTACACACCCCATTCTATCCCCATGTTAGATGATGAAAACACACGTTGGTTGAGGCCAAAATGCCCCATTCCCCAAGTCTTGGATCAACCCGGAGATCGCCTGCTCATATAGCTACTGTTGGCTATTATATCCCTTTATCTTCACATTATATCCCAGTACATTCCTATAAAAGTCCATGACATGTCCATGAAATCCCATGATATTCCTGCAAAATCCCACTACAATCCCATTCAATCCCATTACATTCCCATCAAAAATTCCAGTAATATTCCAATAAACATGTGGATAGAATCCTTGAAGCACATTGTTGAAACGGGTTGAAACATCGGTGTATTACACATATAAATATATATATATATAGAACCAGTATATCCTCATATTTTTCTGCTTAAAATCCCTATTAAATGACTATCATCATCAACCAACAGGGGTAATCGATATGTAATATAAAAGTCAACTATTATCAATAAACCCTACTCATAAGGTAAACAAATATGGTTGATAATCCCTTTTTTTTTATATATATATGTATATATATATATATATATATATATTGACACCCCCTATTAAATAAGTATAGTCCCTCATATTTTGCTAGTTAAAATCCCCAAAAAATGCCTGTTTACGGACGTTTCCTAAACTATGGGTACCCCAAACCATTGGTTGTCCCATTGATGGTGACCAATTTCCGATGATTGCGGGATACCCACCAACCCCTATGAGTTAGTTTATAAATTTCTAAGTGCAATTATCTATATATCTACTATAAACCATAGCTCAGATAGTTGCAAAGCAACTTATCTATCGTTTGGGGTCACCACCTTGGCTTGTCAGTAGTTAATCATTAACATAGTATGTAAATAGTTCTATAATCATCATGGGCTACAGCGATCTGAGGGGCATGTAACTATCTATCACCTATCAAAGATTCTACTGTAGTTCCAAACCCACTATTCTTAATAATAAATATGAACATCAACTATCATGAACTATCATTATATAATAATTCAATAATAATCCAATAATATTGATGGTTCATGGTTAATGACGAAATCCCCATCAACCCACCATCGGGTATCCTTTTTGTTTACATATTCCCATTCGGTTGATACTGAAAAATAATGAAACATCCCAATCATTATGTTTAAATTGTGATGACATCTATGAGTCATGGGGTACCCCAATACTTAGATGCTTAATAGTCAAGATAGTTTGTTACATCGCCATCCGGCACAATGTTTTTTTTTTTTAATAAAGAATATTAATCATCTGGTTGTACTGTATTTGGATCACACTGAATTTTACCATTTGTTATATAACCATCTGGGTATAATGTATCTTATACTCTTACACTGATTATAATATATATATATACTAACCATTATACCCATTGATCGTTATAGTCCCCTGGCTAGTCATTGTAACAGTATAATAAGGTTATGTAACAGCCACATGTTCAGTATACCAACAGTATCTAATGATTATAATGTCTATTTAATTTATAGTCTATATACTAACGTGATCTAACGTTCATCAATGATTATATAACCAGTATAATGTCACCACATTAAAACAGTTATCGTTCCAAACATTACATGTACTATCACAGTTATAGAAATGTTGTAACTTTTACTATAACAGCTATAGAAATGTTTGGTTACTACGGTTACTATATATAACAGGTATAAATTCTATCATTACCATCAATAAATATGGTAACATGGATCCCATCAATCTACCCCATTTATGTTAGCATATATACCAAACCCATGGATCCTATGGATCCTATGTTCCTTGGGACCTTCGAACATTTCTGGTCCCCGGCCGCTCGAGGCACGGCCCGGCCGCCGCGCTTGATGCCTGCGAAGCCGGCCTGGCCGGCCACCAGGGCCGTGAGGCCCCCGGTGAGATCGTCGGCCAGGTCCCTGTAGCGCTGGATGAAGGGAAACACCAAACACCAAGGATGTCATGGTGATTCAATGGTGATTTAATGATGGGTTCATGGTGATTTAAGTGGACTTGATGGTGATGTCATGGTGTTTCATGGTGATTTAATGATGGGTTCATGGTGATTTAAGTGGATTTGATGGTGATTTCATGGTGTTTCATGGTGATTTCATGGTGATTTAATAGGATTTAATGGAGTTAGTGTGAAGTTGTCTTATGAGATTTCATGGGATTTTGAACCAGCTAATCTTTTAAAACATGGGATATTATGGGGGTTATGGAATGGGATTTCACGGAACTAGGGGTTTAATGGTGCATTTTATTAAATCGTTAAGCGGATTTAATGCGATTTAATGCAGCCCTGATGGGCCCATCCTCCATGGTGGCGTACTCCGGGAAGAGCTGCCAGTTCACCACGTTCTTCGCACGACAGCTGTCGCCACAACGTCTTAGCGCCCTTCTCTGTCTTCTTAGTGGTACCATCTGCCCTCGCCTTGTCTTTGGCAGAAGCCCCACCAGCTCCCAGTGGCCTCGCAACCACGCCGTTCCTCTCTCGGAGCGCCGCCTGGCTTGCCATTCTGGCATTAAGCCCAGCTGGGAGCACCATGGCCTCACAGGCCTGCTTCACCGTCGCTAGCCCCGTAGGGCTTAGCTCCGGGAGAATTGCCAGGGCACGTGCCAAGGCCAGTGCCGCTTGAAGATTTTGCTTCTTCTCGCGTTGGCAAAAAAGATACGTGTTGGTTAATTTGTCCATTCATCAGTTCAATCTATTCACACACACAAATGTTAGCCATACATCAGCACCAGTTCCAAATTTGTCTAAGTCCCAAATGTTTGTTGAAATCCTGCATTTTGGGACCGTTGATCACCTCCTTCGCTTAAACTCCATCCCCGAACACCAACAACACTTTTTGGGACTGAAGATATCGCAAACAACATAATTATTTTTAAACACACCTGATAAATCCTCTATTGTTTGGTAAATACCATGGTTACTTGCTGGTGCAACCCAATCTCTTCTAGTGGATTGACATTATAGATTACATAAATATAAACCATTATAAACCTATATATAGTCATCCCACTTATGACTAGGGTTTTAACCTATATACTAACTGGGATTAGCCACGAATCTAGCACTTTTTCCTGGCGATATCCACCCAGCTGCCTGTAGCCCTTCATCTCCAGGGAGACTCCCCAGACCATGGCTTGCCACGTCTGCTCCGACAGCACCGCGGTGAGGATCAGTGGCTCGGCAGCGGTGCCGCCTGGCGTGTGGTGGAAAATCTATGGGAAATACTTCGAAAACATGGGAAAATCTGTGGGAAAATATGGGAAGATCGTGGTTTTTCTGGTTGGTGGTTGCAAGAACCATCTTGAAAAATGATGGAGTTCGTCAATGGTTGGCGGATGACATCCCATATATGACATGGAAAATAAGAGCCATGTTCCAAACCACCAACCAGATAATCTTTAAGTGGAAATCATGGGGATGTTTATTCAATAATATATATGATATACCCAGATCCACCTTGTGGCTGAAATAAGTACCGTATAGTGCTGTTTCCAATTGTGGCTGAAATTTTGGCCGTCACCTCTAGAAAACGCCGTCATGAAAAATAAACGCCGTGGCTCTACAAAAATGCCGTCAATCAGATTGAGAGTGAACCATGGTTTTCCAATCTATGTGTTGAACCCCTTTGAATTTTATTTGAATGGTTGTCATGTTTGTGGGCCCAGACTTCAGTGGCCACCATTTCATTGCCAGTGATGCCCATGATACATGGGAGAGTAAAAATGGTTTCATCCCAAAGCTTAAGCCAAGACCCTTCAAAAGTTTGATTTCAAGACGTTCAAAACTAGTGTAAAACAGAGTACGGAGATTGACGCCATAATTGCGCCAATTTACGCCGTAACTTGGGAATGTGTTTTTTGGCATTCGTTTACTTTTTTTTTAGACCTATACTTTTTGGATTCTTAGTAGCAAGCATCATGGGCTGCTAACAACCTTTTTGCAACAGCAGGCTGTCACTGGTTGCTCAAACCACTTTAACTGACTTGAATTACACTTGACCAAAATGATGGACATGGAGAAATGAGCCAAAACCTTTGGCCAATGTGATGTCAGACCCCAACTAAGGCATTCCATGTAATGCCGTTGGAATATGTTGGAATAACAAAGAAATGCCGTACTGTAGCCAAACAAATTACGCCGTAGTACCGGTAAGGGCTACTTTCTGCAAAAAGTGCCGTGTTCGATGTGTTCTAGGTATATTTGTCGGTTTTGTTTCACCCAACTATAGACATATCTACCTCAGTTTGTATCAGTTTACATATACTAAACTTAGCCAAGCTATTTCAACCAATATATCTGGGGGGCACTTTGTTCGTGAATGGACATCCATCAATTACACTATTGAGAATTGATCACCAAAAGAACTGCTGTTTCCCGGGCAGGGCACATTTCAGTCACATCTTGGTGGATGATCAATAAAACAAAAACAACATGATGAAATTCAATGATTTCATCCCAATCACCCAATCTGGATCTGAGCACTGAGCTGAGACATTAAAAACAGCGGCCTGCGAGCGGTGACGCAGCAGTCAAAATCTCACCCTCTGAAGTCATCAGCGAAATGTCGCCTGATGACCAGAAGAACTGCTGCGGTCATCGCAGTGGTTTTTCCCACCTTAAAGCTAACGTTGCTTGCTGCAAATAGCCAGGCGAACGATCGTTTCTGGAAATCTGTAGTTAGACGGGATTATATATATATATATATATTCTAGACTAATTATAGATGATTGTAAATGATTATAGACCAACTTACAACTGGGGTCTTGCTGTACGGGGAGGTTGGCAGGTTGGCATCTTTTGAAAGCATCACTTTAACCGGGGTACCCAGGATGATAACACTTTTAAATCATTGGCTTTAGAAATACTTAGGGGTTGAAATTAACCAAAGGACCTTGAGTCTCAACAATTGAGAGAACTTGTGTCATTGTGTGTACATATATACATGGGAATGTGTTTTAAAATGCCCAAAAAGAATTGGTTTGACCAGTTCTAGTCAAGGCTCAATCATCATTGGTCATGGGACAATCCAAGTTTGACCCATGAGCACAAGGATATCTTCAAAATCACTGCATCCAACAGCTACGCCAGCTACGCAACTTAAAACGATGTCCTTGCATGAACGTGCTATAGCGGCTACCCTCTGGTAATTTAACATAGCTATTGAAAATGGCCATTTATAGTGGATTTTCCCATTAATAATGGTGATTTTCCATAGTTACGTTAGTTTACCAGAGGGTACATCAACAACTTTGTTGGCAAATCCCCGTGTTTCTCAAATCTCCACGTTGCTCAAACAAAAAGAGCAGGGCCCCAGGGCTGGGTCCCTGGCTCGACCCACGGTTTGAAAAACGAAAAATGTTTGAACTGGCTCGGGATCGACCCCCCAACCATTCCCATATTTTTTGGGGGGGGCATGAACATCAATTTACCAGCTATTTTATGGGAATATCTATGGGAATATCTATGGGAATATCTATGGGAAAATATGGGAAGATCGTGGTTCTACTGGTTGGTGGTTGCAATAAGCATCTTGAAAAATATGAGTTTGTCGATGGGAAGGATGACATCCCATATATGACATGGAAAATAACACATGTTTGAAACCACCAACCAGATTTACCAGCTATTTTGGTGTTCACCCAAGGGCACCCAGCCTTCAGACCACGCAGGAAGAGACTTCAGCTGCATTTTCAGGGCAGTGACGCCTATCGAATCGCAGTTTCTCAGCGGAGTGGCTTGGAAAGTCGCAAAGTACAGAGATTGTTCAGTGAATTGTATGAACTAATATGGGTATGGGTCAAACTTAGGTACCCCAATAATTAATGGTTAATCTATGGTTAATCTATGGTTAATCTATGTATGAATTATACCCATGACGGATCCATGTATGGTATATTAATGCTAACATAAAGGGGGTATATTGATGGGATCCATGGCACACCATATAGCAGCACCATGGATCCGTCATGGGGTATGAAGTGGGTTCCCTACCGGACGATTTTGTTTGACCCTGCCCTAGCCGCCGTCTTGGGAACTTGCATGCAGTTGCGGTCCGTTCAGCCCCTCATAAAGAGATGACTACAGGAACTGCGTTTCAAAAGTCGGGCGCTGTTAAGTTTGTAAACACCCCAAACAAGGTCAAGTAATATCAGGTTGGGATGTTCATCTACCCATAAGTTTGCAAACTTAATTCTATCTCCAAACATGCGGATGCGGCACCAAGCAGCACTAGCAATTGCATCATGTGATGATTTCTCTATGCGTCAACTAGTGCTGGTTCAACTAGATCAAACAAATCAGCAGCATGTATCTTTCTGGTGCCTCAACTATGTCCGTATAGAACAATGCTGATGTATTTCCCTCCAAAAAAAATATGGCTAAACAATAGATAAACTATAATACACTGACTGCTTTAAGGGTGAACTAGTTACAGTAAACCGAGCAAAGCAAGCTTTTTCTCAGCAAGAATCTGGCCTTCGGTCTCCAGAGGTCCCAAGATCTCTTCCCCATTGATGCTGCGCACGACGACGAAACCGGCCGAGGCCGCCATGGCTTTCAAAGCGGCCCAGCAAGTCGTCTGTCAATAGGGGAGACACCAAAGTCATGTGGAAACTCATGAGAATCTGATAATCCTTTGGACATAGTGACTATATGTTACTATATATATATATATACTATATCTGGTTGGTGGTTTTAACCATCTTAAAACAATATTAGTCAATGGGAAGGATGACATCCCATATATGACATGGAAAATAAAAGCCATGTTTGAAACCACCAACCAGATATGTTATTATATACTATATAATTATTGTTTGATTGGTGTTCACCTTATCCGTTGAGTATTTTTGTGTGGAGCCATTTACGGAGGACGGCGGTTTCGTCCCAAGAGGAACTGGTTGGTTCTGGCTGGTTGAGCCTATGTGTAATCGGCCAGAAGTATGCCAAAAGCTTTGGTATCATTTTAAGGACCATATATTACAACTGTAAATAAATATATATATATATATATTATATATTATGTACAGATATACATATGTATAATATATACATGTATAATATATACATGTATAATATATACATGTATAATATATACATGTATAATATATACATGTATAATATATACATGTGTAATATTTTAGATACATACATACAATATATATATATATATATGTATGTATGTAATAATTGTATATACGGATTACAGATATAATACATATATAGATACATACATTCTTGTGTGGAATCATAGTCAAATTCGGTAATTCAAATGATTCGACAGAAAATCATGTTTCCATAAATTTCCAATGAGCTGAGGACACATTCTTCAGCTCCAAACCTTAGGAACTGAGCAAAATGCTGCGGTGAACCGATTCATGCAACTGAATTTGCTCATGCTGTTGGTTTTTTCATGTTTTGTTTGTGTGTTTCCAAGAAAAAACGGGGGAATCCAAAAACAAGTGAAACATACCCTACTCTTCCTGGTAATTGAAGTGGTTACCTGTCCCAAAAGATAGTTCAAAGAAGTGCTTTCGCTACCCCAAAAGTCACCCATTTCCCCCTGGGTGACTTGGTGTCTGTAATCTGCTGACCCAAAAACCATGCTCCTTCATGCCGAATCGTCACCCTTGAAATTGGAAGGTTTATATAATCATGTTTAATATATCCCATAGGATCCATGGTGCTCCCATCAATATATCCCCAATGTTAGCATATACACCATACATGGATCCTATGGGATATGGTTTAAAGGCCATGTTTCATGTGAACAGACTCATCCAACCGGAACGTTCACGGCGGTCGGAAAACATGGGATGCGCCATCCATGTCTGTTTTTTTATGTGAAAAACCCCACAGCAGGGGTCACGGCGTGTTGAAACAGCAGGGGAGTCTCTACTCAATTCAGTGTTCACTCTATACATATTCCCCAAAGGTTCTTCAGATTTTGTCAGATCCATCAATCGAGTCTCCTAGAAGATCTCAGAATCATCCATGGCATATAATAAAATCACACGCGTCTACCTCCCAAATCCGCTGTTATGTAGGTCATGCTTTAAAATTCAAGTGGACGGAATAAGTACCGACAACCCCCCGCCCAAAAAAAGACATGTACGATTATACGATTGCCCGTATAAATGTGTAGCAAGTAAATACCTGTATATACTAGATCATCCATATACCTACACGTATTTGGAAAATGATAGCATTATATAGCATAATCATACATCTAGTATTGCGTGTATTAATATGTATATATCAGAAAAAGATGGACGATATTGGATCATCCAAATCTCCCATAAATAGTATCATCACCATTGGCAAAATTTTCCAGATGATCGTATTCATGATAAATATCATCGTTTCATATGAACAGCGTATCATGGTTAATATCCTATCATGGCCAATAGGTGACTATTTACATGGGTATTACTATGAATTTTCCGATGATCACCATGGTGATTATGTATAGTATACATATATATATATATATATGTATGTATATCATCTTTTTATGTTCCTACGATTATCACCCCATATGTTTATAACAAAATAGGTACAATAGGATATCATGCATACATATACATACCATATTGATCCATATTATTGGGGATGTTATTACCTATCACCATCATGATTATTTCCTATTCATATCACATGTATCTGGGTAATTTATTATAATAATTCACTAACCTGAATAGTTCGGCCATTTTGGGATGATTCCCCTATAAAAAACCCATGATTATAGTGAGGTCACCGTGAGGTCGTTATAATTTACCCAGATGTATCCATGGGACCCTCCGCCTCTGAGGCCATCTGCTGCAGAGCTGCCTATGACGATGACGTGAGGAGTGGGATGACGGCCCAGGTGACGACCAGGAAATGGGAAGTGAAGAAATAGCTCAAGAAGGGCAAGTTGGCTCTGATTCTCTTGAATGAACCTGGTTGGTGGTTGCTGCTAACCCCTCTGAAAAATGATGGAGTGAAAGTCAGTTGGGATGATGAAATTCCCAATGTATGGAAAAAAAAAATGTCCCAAACCACCAACCAGGCTTGAATTAACCCATATGAAGCCAGATAAATTGAGAATGATTGAGATAAATGATGATGAGTTGATTTGAATTGAATTGACGGACATGGATAAATGGATATCGTTGAGGCACATTATGGTGATAAAAATGCCAACTGGGAAACATGGAGTTTGTAGGTCCCCAGTCTTCCAGTTACCTCTGAGATAGGGGAGCAAGCTGATCTCTACAGCGTCCCCAAGTGGGACACCCACGGTGAATTCTGCTGGAGAATCCCAATGGTCACCAACAAAGGCTTCCTGGTGGTTGTCTTGACCAGCACAACAGCACAAAACGGCGTATTGATTTACATGGACATCCTTGAGGTTACACCCTCGTAGTCAAAAATTGCGATGACAAACTGAGCTTATGGGGAGAGATTTATGCTGGCTTGCTGTGGAATCCCCTTTTAACATTCATTTATGACTGATTTCCACTTAAGCAACTGTAGCATTCCGCTTTGCACTATCTTGGTCCCAAATAATTCATTTCAATAAGCAGATGCAAACAAAGAAATCAAATCCTACAGCAGAAACTGCGCCAAACTATCTAAAAGGGGTAGTTACTTCCATATATGCTAATAAACAGTGAAGTATATCAACTGATAGCCAGTTCGACTTGTGGGTTTATAACATTTTTTTTAACCCCCATGAACTATAGATCTACCATAAACCCAACAGTTAGCCTAGGTATCAACCAGCAGATTTCGAAAACCGCCGTTGGAAGCCCCCGCACCTCTGCACCAGACAAGGTCTTGAAGGGCGCTGGAGGCGGAGGAGGGGTCTCTACCTACGGCGCTGCGATGGCTTTTGGACTGCTCAAGATGGAAGTATGCATGATTTCTAAATAGATCTAAATGTATCATTGATTACCATGTTGGTTTTGGGGATGAACATCAAAACTCTTCAACTGAGTTCACCAGGGCAATATTTAACTCATGTCATATGAACGAGCTATCATCGGCCGGAGCAACCCGGCGGATCCAGTGGTGAATCCAAGAGCCCATCAACCAACAGTGTTCCGAAGTGGAGCTCTTTGTTGCATATGATGTTCCCATTGAAACCTCAACTGATTGGTGGTTGACCTACCCCTCTGAAAAATATGAAAGTCAGTTGGGATGATGACATTCCCAATATGGAAAAAAACATGTTCCAAACCACCAACCAGGCAATTTATAGAGGATTTCCCCAGCTAGCCATGCTTGCTTTCCGGAGGATAGTACTAAGCTACCCCTCCTGTGACCCTCCTCCCCCTGCGCACCACCATCTCCACAATCTCTTTGGGAGGTGGTGTTAGATCGATGGAGGGCACACCTTGGAAGGGTGAGGTGAGGATTAATTGTGGATCATCTATGATTAATACCGGTTAATGACTATTAAAAATGGATAATGATGACCAAGGATGGTTCATCTTGATTTTGCAGTGGATCTTCCAAAGGCAAAAGGATTTAATCAATGGAGCCCTCAACCAAGGAGACATGGGATAATATGAAGGTATACAACATAAGCTGCTTGGTGGTTGCACCCCCTCTGAAAAATATGAGTCCGTCAATGGGAAGGATGACATCCCATATATGAAATGGAAAATAAAATTCATGTTTGAAACCACCAACCAGTAAGGATCGGGATGTTTCTTCAGTGCCAAAAAAATGCTTTGGTCAATGCTCGGAACATAAGTTCGTTCAGCTCACCATCAGCAGGGTGAACCTTAACACGTCACAGAGTGATAGGTCTTTATAATACCAGACATACCAAACAACTCCTCTGCAGTCTAGACCGGATTTGTTTTTTTGTGCCGACAATAATGAGAGCCCCCACCAAAAATGTGAATCTTGAGATTGGAATTGGGATTCAGCGAACAACAGTGGGAATCTAGTTTTACAAGCAGCAAAAGTGGGGATGTAAACCACATCCAGAAACCATTTTTACAAAGTGAGATTCAACCAACAAACATGTGAGTTATAACATGTTATAACCACCAACTACTAGGGAAGCAACAAAAAACAGGATCTCCAACCTGCAATTCGGCGACACGTGGGACGGTCCAATCACTGGTCAAATCCTCGATCATATTGAAAAATGCTTCACATTTACCCTCTGGTAATTTATTGGGATGTTATAGTGATTTATTGGGATTTTATAGTGATTTATTGGGATGTTATAGTTATTCAATGGGATATTATTGGTTATTCAATGGGATATTATTGGTTATATACCCTCTGGTAATGACTAACAGTTTGCTATTGAAAATGGTGATGTTTATAGTTGATTTACCCAGCTATAAAATGGTGATTTTCCATATAGTTTTTTGTATGTTTACCAGGCCGGGTATGTTTTCCATACGTTTCCCCAGAAACCCCAGGCGGGTCCACTAAGGCGATGAGCAAAGCCTAGCCTTGGGGCCTTATTGTATCATTACAATCCCATGGAACCCCTCTGGTAAAAGACTACTATGATTTTAAGGTGGGGTTTAAAAACCATGGAAAATCCCATGGAACATCCTAGTATAGTACCATTT